GTCACAGTTTCGTGGCTATGCAGAGATTAATAGAAATGGGTTCATTTAAGATGTAAGCATTAACTAGAAATATTCCTAAAATATTGGCCTAACAGTGTTGTAATTAATATAGTTTCTGTGTTATTATTTGTGTCTGGGTGACCGGGAAATAACAAGCAATCTCAGCTCAGCTTACAGGCTTTCCAATGCATTTTACATTCTAAAGTAAAAACCAAAAATAACTATTACCTGAAATGATATTTTAAGTTATTTTCAAAAAAGATTAGACCTTTAAACATGTTGTTCCATATATAATTACACATATATACTATTCTAAGCTACTGGGCAAAGCATACTTCCCAATTTATATTAATTCATACCTCAAATTTATTAAAAACATACAGATACATATAAACACATGCTTTTTTCCCTTTCACTGTTAAGTGAGTAGAAATTTGAAAAGGATAATTATTGCTCTTAAACTTATTATGTGACTGAGATTTCACATTGGCCTCTAAAAACACTGCTGATTTGATTTTGGATATAATAAGTGCAAGAAACTATAAATAAGATTTTGTTACTCAAGAGGATTTTTAAATAAATATTCAGTTCAAATTGATGTTGTTATTAGCCTGGATGCATAGGCACACAAGATAGAGTCATTTCATCATCTCTGAAATTATTTTTATTAAAAATAAGACATTATTGAATAGCATTAATATTGAAAATCTAATATCTTTTGCAGAAGTTTAATTTCCTAACATTAAAAGTATATGAACTTTTATCCAAATCCTTATCCAGCATTGTCCCAGAATGCCCTCTCATCTTCACAATGAACTCTTCCCCACATAGAGAAATTACTGTGCAGTGTATCTCAGGCACAGAATAATATTAGGGAGTCACGTAGCTTCATTATTATTTCTGATGCTACCGTGTCATTTGCATGCTCCTATACCATTTTGTTAGCTTCCATTTTAACTCCTTTTTGCTTTTATTCACACTATAATCCTCTTTCCCTTAACTCCTTCTTTATACATCAACTATGTTAGAAAGAGGGATCCAAGCCTCAACATTGTCTACATTAGGCAAACATCTTCCCATACCTTGCACATGGCAGATTAAAGTTACCTTTCTTCATTTATGAATTACAGGAGTCCTAGACAGTAGAGTTAAAGAACTCTACAGTGGTTTGTCTGTGTTCTCCACAATGGAAGCTGGTTTTAACTGCTACTGTGTTGGAAGATGGGACCTTTTCAGGACAGTTACAATAATATCTAAGTCTTCATATATAAAGTTATTCCTTTACTTTAGGAGTATGTGCATTAATCATAGGAGTGACTTTGTGGTTCTTTTGTGTTCCCTCACTCTTTTACATTGTAACTAGAATGTCCTTGCTGGGTGCCAACACCTTAATGTTGAACTTTCTCGTATCTAAAATTTTGAGAAGTGTATTTTTAAATAAACTACACAGATTGTTGCTATAAGATCAGAGCATGACAAACGATGCTGCTATGAACATAGTCGAGCACATGTTTTGTGGCATGATTGAGCATCTTTAGATACCAAAAGTGGTATGTCATAGCCAGAAACTGGAAACAAGCTAAATGCCCTTTGACTGAAGAATGGATAAGGAAAATGTGGTACATTTACACAATGGAGTACTACACAGCAGAAAAAATAATGACATATTTAATTTTGCAGGCAAATGGATGGAGCTAGAAAACATCATTTTGAGTGAGGTAACCCAGATACAGGAAGGCAATTGTCACATATATTCACTCATAAGTGGTTTTTAAACACAAAACAAAGAAAATCAGACCACAAATCACAATCCCAGAGAACCTAGAGAACAATGAGGACTCTAAGAGAGACATACATAGATCTAATCTACATGGGAAGTAGAAAAAGATGAAATCTCCTGAGTAAATTGGGAGCATGAGAACCTTGAGAGAGGGTGGAAGGGGAGAGGAGTGGTAGGGAGGGGAGCAGAGAAAAATGCAGAGCTCATAAAAAGATAAGATCATTAAGATATACTTTAATATAAAACTTGTTAATATTGAAAGATTGTTAACCATAAAGTATTCATAGCTGTCAATGTAAAAATGTATGTAGAAGCTAATAGAAGGAAGATACACATATGACCACAATAAAGAGTAACAATATGAAAAGGCAAAGTCATCATACAAAGGAAATATGGCCTTAGGTAATATTTTAAGTCTATAACATATAATTAGTTTTAAGCCTAAAGAAACATTGATAGGTAGGTAAATAATTGGTGGTTTTATCTCAACCACAAAGTTCTGTATAGAGTATTTTTTTAACTTTCTAAAGCTGAGAAAAATAGCCCAATAAATTTGTAAATTAAAACTGACAAAATGTTATCATAGTAGAATAAATAAGCTTAATCAATTACATTGTTTTTCATTACAAGATGACCCCCCAAATCACAATGCTTTCAATTTTCTTTCAGCAATTGACAGCTACAAATGAGGGTGTTGGTGACTCTTAAGTAAACTTGTAGGTAAAAATGTTCTCCTTATTAATTTTTTTCTCTTATGAACATGTGATTGAAAGTTAGAATTAGACCTAAATGTCTCAATCTACTCTATTTTTCATCAATTAGCAAATTTTGGAGAAACAGATTAGTCTGTAACTCCTCATCTGTATAATCATATAAAACTCTTATTTGCCACAGGATCAATCCTACATAATCTTAGGATTCAAGCAGAGTTTCAAAAATGGTAGCCCAGGGTTCAAATAAAGACACCTGGCAGTGGCAGTTGCTGTTTTCTAAAGAGTGTGTGTGTACATTCTGTTCTCTGCAGGACTTATTAGACTTGAGCTCATTCTCCCAGGAAGAGTCACAGAGTCTCTTTGCCATATTAGTTTCAGCAGTCATTGACTTATGTGATGTCTGCAGTAAAGGAAACAAGTATTGCCCAGTCAAGAACAAAGCTTGTAACCTTCCACTTAAGCTGACATGGCTTAAGTCAGCTCAGGATAGGGCATTTCTTCATAAGAAATTTTATAGAATTTATTTGGTTGGATTAAATTGCATGTGCACACAAGTGTACGTGGACACATATGTATGCAGTTTAAATGAAGTTATCATAATTAGACTTAATATTACTCCCCCTCTCCAAGACTAAAAAATATCTATAATTTTTTTCTCAATAGACTAAGAAAAAAATCTCAGTACTAGACATGATAAACATCTTTTCCAATTTTTGGTCAGAGGCATCCAAGATATTCCCCAGACAAGGTAGGTTATTCCTGTTTTTCATGGTTGCCTCACAGAAATTAAATGTAAGACTCTATCACTATGGATTCATTGTACTTTGGACACAGAGCTAAGAGGAATCCAGCTAGATATCATTGGAAATTGTCTTTCTAGCTAGCTTTCATAAGATATGAAATTACTATGTAATCTAACAAGGGGAAAAAAACAACTAGTAGTCCTATCCAGGTGTGATCCCTGTAAGTCAGAGTAGCAACCACTACAGCAAGATATCCACAAAGGTTCAGTAGTGACATTCATAAGTTGGTGATAATCAACAGTTGTCTACTTCCTTACCATGAATGGTAACTGAAACAGTCAACTACTCTGAGCTAGTGAGGTCATAGATCTTTGAGAAAAATTTTCCACTGCCACTTAACTAAACCACTATAGTTTCCAACTTCATTCTAAATACTTAAACCCACCCATATGTATAGTTCAAAGAAACATCTCTTTGAAGCATATAGAGACCATTACAGAAAACCACAACTAGTAAAAATGCAGAGCACTACTGACATGGAGTACTTAGGCCCAGTTGATGCATCTATAACTCAACACTCACATCTAAGGTTCATGGAACATTTGGAAGAAGGGCAGAGAGAGTCCAAGGATGAAGAAGTCAGCTGTGAGTTGTATCTCAGAAATGAAAGGCATTTGGGAAACCTAAATGCCCCTCAACTGAAGAATAGACAAGGAAAATGTGGTACATTTACACAATGGAGTAATACACAGCAGAAAAAATAATGATATCTTGAAATTTGCAGGCAAATGGATATATCTAGAAAACATCATAATGAGTGAGGACCCAGAAACATGAATATCATATGTACTCACTGATAAGTGGCTTATAGACATAAAGCAAAGAAAATCCAGCCTACAGTTCATAATCCCAGAGGACCTAGACAACAAAGACGACCCTAAGAGAGACATACATGGATCTAATATACATGGGAAGTAGAAAAAGACAAGATCTCTTGAGTAAATTGTGAGCATGGGGGCCATGGGAAAGGGAAGAAGGGAATGGGAAAAGAAGGTAGGGGAGCATAGAAAAATATATAGCTCAATAAAAACAATAAAAAATAAATAAAAGGCAAGCTATTCCCATGATTTGACATCATTGTCTACACAACACCCAAACAAAGAGAACAATAATAGACTTGCTAGTGTAGAAGGGAAAATTTCATTGGCCCCACACACAGGTAAGAGGTAAAGGCAATTAATGACTATTGGGAGAGGGAGAATTAAACTTCTACAGTGGTAAGTCTTCTGATTGGTGATCCAATATCAAGTATTCAACCCTGAAAACAAACATACAAGCAACACTACACAGGCACATCATGTATTTATGAACATATAGATTGGTGTGTTTATCAATGCATATATATATGTGTGTGTGTATAACCATAGTGATTAAAGAAAAAGGCATAACTTAAATTTGTCATTACAAGTTGGAAAATTCCAATTGTTGCTTTAAAATGTTTTCAATCAAATTTATCAGTGAAGTGTATAGGCATGGTTTTTAAAAAGGACACGGAGATAAACATATGGATGAAGAAATATGACGTCAGGAATCGGCATTTTAAATTTAACTATCACTTATAAAACTAGTTGTCTTTTATATCTTGATGTCCTGATCTTTCAATCAAACATATATTGTTTTATAAAAGGGTAGATAAGGAGAATAATCTTCTCAAATAGCTATAATTTTGTTGTTAGGGTAGGAACAGTGTTCCTAGTCTCTTACCTGGGTAAAGAAGGGCTCATAAATTTCCACTCCTTTGTCAGATCCTTGAAGCAACACCTCTTGGCCACGTCTCCAACTGTAGCGCACAGGCGGGTTAGAATTGGCCACACACCTGAGAAACACTGTTCTCTCATAGTAAAATTGTTCTTTAGCTTCACCTATGCTTTGATGAACAGTTACTACTGGATCATCCAAGTCTAGAAGAAATAAAAATAAGCAAGTGACAACATTACAATATGTACAGCCTCTAAACTATTGCAAACTTATGCCCTGAACAATGATGCAAGCTTCTACTGATGGCGGTGCTATGAGTGCATATGAGCAAACTCAATAACAGAGAAATTTTCAAACTAAAATCTTAAATTTTGACAGTGTCTTCAGATTTGTTAAGATAGTACAGAAGTTCTTATATTTTTTTCAGTTGTCTTGCCAGAAGCCACTTAGATAAGATTTCATGAAATTGAACAAAATCTAAATGGCCACCCCTGAATATATACAATACTAATATATATATATATATATGTGTATATATATGTATATATATATATATTCAGTAAGTTATATTTAGGAACAGACACCTATATACATACATTAATTGTTATTGCATGCATGAATATATTCAATTAAAAACAATTCATGAGAATGGAAGCCATGAATTTGAAAGAGAGTGGAGAAGATTATATGGGAGCCTTTAAAGAGAAGAAAGCAAAGGGAGAAATGTGATTAAATTAAAATCTCAGAAAGGTTTAGAGAGAGATCAAAACACTAAAACTGAACTCAACCAGCATAGACTCATAGGAATGTTGCAAACTCTTGCTATTAATGACCATCACAACCGACTTAGCATTCTTTCAGCTGTATAACTTTGATGGAGGGACTCTTTAACTTTAGCGATCTTCCTTGTCAGTAAAATGCTATTATATTATTAAGGTCACCTGAGGATGAATAAATGAGAGAGCTCATAAAACATGGGCATTTGTATATAGAACAGCTACTGATTTTTTGTTGTTGTTGTTGTTAATCTTGTATCCAGTCACTTCACTGAAAGTGTTTATGAGCTGTAAGAGTCCCCTGGTAGATTTTTTGAGTCCCTTCTGTTTATTATCACATCATCTGCTAATAGTAATAGTTACTTTGACTTCTTCCTTTCCAATATGTATCCCCTAGATCTTCTTCAATTGTCTTATTGCTCTAGCTAGAACTTCAAGTATTATATTGAATATATTTGAGAGAGAGTACGCAACCTTATCTTGTTCCTAATTTTAGTGCTGCTGCTTTGGGTTTCTCTCCATTCAGTTTGATGGTGGCTATAGGCTTGCTATAAACTGCCTTTATTATGTTGAGGTATATTCCTTTTATCCATACTCTACTCTTTCTAAGACGTTTATCATGAAGGGGATTAGGTTTTCAGCATCTACTGAGGTAATCATGTACTATTTTTTTCTCTCAGTTTATTTATGCGGTGGATTGATGTGGGATTCACAGCATTGATGGTATGTTGTGAATACCATTGGTTAATAAAGAAACCGCCTTGGTCTGTTGATAGGACAGAGTAGAACTAGGTAGGGAACACTAAATTAATGCTGGGAGAAAGAAGGTGGATTCAGACATCTGAACTTTATCTGGTAAGCCACAGCCTCATGGCAATACACAGATTGATGGAGGTGGATTAATTTAAAATATGAATTAGACAGGAATAAATTTAAGCTATTGTCCAAACAGTATTGCAAATAATATAGTTTCGGTGTGATTATTTAGGGGCTGAACAGTCAGGAACAAACAAGCAGCCTTCTACAACAGTAGATTGTATTGACTGATTTTCTTACGTTAAACCATCTCTGCATCTCTGGCATGAAGCCTATTTGATCATGGATGTCTTCTTGGATTTGGTTAGTGAGTAATCTTTGAGTATTTTTGCATCATGAGAGAAACTGGTCTGTAATTCTCTTTCTTTCTTTGATTTGGGAATAAGGGTTACTGAGACATCATAAAATAAATTTGGAATTTTCCCTTTTATTTCTATTATGTAGATAATTTGAGGCTAAGAAAAAATAACGCAAATGACATCTCATGCTGGCGAGGATGTGGAGGAAGGGGAACACTTTACCATTACTGATGGGGAAAGCAAACTTGTACAACCATTATGGAAATCAATATGGAAGCTCTTCAGGAAGATGGAACTTTATCTATGTCTAGATTCAGCTATACCACTCTTCGAAATATACATAAAGAATGCTCCATCCTGTCACAAGAATACTTTCTCATCTATGTTCATAACAACTTTATTTATAATCGCCAAAAACTGGAAACATCCCAGATGTCCCTCAAACAGATAAATGAATAAGAAAAATGTAGTACATTTACACAATGGGGTGTCATGAAATTGGCAGACAAATGGTTAAAAGTAGAAAAATCTCATCCTGAGTAAGGTAAACCATGACCAGAAAGAAAAACATGGTATATAATCACTCATAAGTGGATATTATCTGTTAAGTAAAAAATAATCATGCTCTAATCTCTAGACCTGGAGAGGCTAAATAAAAAGGAGGGATCAAGGTCTTATGCACAAATCTCCCTGGAAAGGGGAAATAGAATAGATTTTGCAAGTGAACTGGGGAGGTTGTTGGGGACGGGAATCACAGGGACCAGATAGAGAGTGTTGGGGGAGAGAATATTGTGAGAGATGACCTAATTTTCAGGTATTGGGCAGTCATGTGGAAACCTAGTGCAGTGGAAACCTCCTGGATCTTATGGGTGGAGACTAGCGATGACTCCTAGTAATAGGTGACATAGAGCCTGAACCTGCCATCTTCTCTAACCAGGAAAAGTTTCCAATGAAGGGATTAAGGCAACAACACAGCCTCAGAACCATTGATCTATAATTAGTCCTCCCTGTAGGATGTATTGGGACAATGATGTCCCAGAACTTCTGAAGGGGTTCTATCTTGGGGATCCCCAAGGAAGAGGCAGAGGAAGGATAGTAAAACCCAAAGGGCTCAATTACACCATAAGAACATGACCCACAGAATCAACAAAGCAGGGCTCATAGGGGCTCACAGAATGAAGAAGCAATCCTAGAGCTGTCATGGGTCTGTGCTAGGTCCTCTGCATATATGTTATAATTGATTAACTTGGTGTTCTTGTGGGACTCCTAACAGTGAGAGCAGGGGTGTCTCTGACTCTTTTGCCTGCTCTTGGGACCATTTTCCTCCTACTGGGTTGTCTTGTACAGTCTTGATATTAAGGCTTATGTCTTTTCTTATTGTAACTTATTATCTCATATTTGGTTGAAATTCCTGATAGGCTTGTTCTTTTCTGAAAGGAAATGGAGGAGGAGTAGATCAGGGGAGAGGGGGAATAGGGGAAGAGTGGAGAGAGGGGAAACTGCAACTGGGATGCAATATATGAGAGAAGAATAATTTTTAAAAAAACATGGGCACACAGTAAACAGTCAACATAATTTAGCCTTTACTGTCTCTCTCTCTCTCTCTCTCTCTCTCTCTCTCTCTCTCTATATATATATATATATATATATATATATATATATATAATCTATCTATCTATCTATCAATTTCAGTTAGTATTAGGGTCTTTTCTTAATAACTGCTATTGATTCCATGGTTTTTCCAGCCTTTATCTCATGACCCTGTATGCTCTCAACTCATTATGAATAAGCACAAATGAGGCCCTTGGCCATTTGTTCAGGCTATCAAAGACTCCAGATGACAAGGGAAAGCCTGGATAAAAGCTACAGTGTGTACATATGCATAATAAAGAAGGATGTGAGCATATGGGACATATCTTGTTTAAAAAGTCACAGCTTCTAAGGAAAGATTCTTTTGATGTATAAAATAATAAAGAACCAATACTACTAGTGATGTTATGGCTAGTGATGCAGGGGGAGAAAAAGAAGGCAGAATGCCAAAATTCCTCAATTCAGTCTGTTAAAATGTGAATTACATGACAGTTCTAGTTTGATTTCTTGTTTTGCAACGTTCTAAGATTTTCTCTTAGATTTCTTCCAACATTAGCATCTTTTCACAGCTACCTCACAGACCTCTAATTTTAGTACTGTAGATTTACAGAGCAACTGCTGCATTCCGTGAAAGATTATGGACTGTCAGATCAAACTCACTCTTCTGTCCATGCAGACACTGTGCTGTCTGATCTTAACAAGTTGGGATTTTGGGGATTCGCAATCCTATGAAATATTCACATAATGATTAGCTCTTCACATAAACCTAATCCAGCAGAAGACTGGTGAACTGAATTTGGTTTAGCCACTTGAATAAGGAAGTAGCTGTATGTGATTGTGCACATTTTATTTTCTTTCTTGTTAAAACATTTCCCTCAAAATTGGGCAGTAACCACGAGCTGATGGCATAACCATGACGGCTCCTCAAACTCTGAATGGCTAATAGCTTTATTGCTTTCCTTTTTGTTAGTGTAATGAAACACACTAACAAAAGCCACTTAGGAGAGTTTATAGGTCCAGACAGGACACTGTTCATCATGGATCAGGAATGAGAGGCTTTCCTAACTCATAGAAAGCAAACTGACAACATTTCATTTACTCATGGTAAGCAGAGAGAGACTAAGAAGTGAGATGGTTCTATAAAACTGGAAAAGCCTGCCCCTCCTGATATAGTTCATCCAGAAAGTCTCAAGCTCTTAAAGCTACCACAACTTTCCTGAGCAGTGCCACCAGCTGGGAACAAGTGTTCATACACAGGAGCCTAAGGGGACATTGATATCCAAACCCAAAGAATAGGGTTATCTTTTTTAGTGCCCCCTTCAGATGTATTCCTAGGTCTTTTCTTGTTTGGTGGTGATGTAACGAGGCTTAGATAGTAATGACCTAGATCTGAAACTCATTTATACATCCTTTATCCTGGTTTGCATGCAATTTGGGTCATGGATCACTAGCCTTCTAAGAATCAATCTTGGTATAGCAGGTTTCCAAATAGTCTATTGGCAGAGTTTCTATTGGAAAAACCCATAATTTTTTTCTCTTTAAAGTGAAAATCAGCAATCCTGAGTAAGATGTTTGTAAAAAAATCAAATATTAGAAGTAGATTATACATATGCATATGTAATTATATATGTACCTTCTGAATGTATGTTGTGTGTACATATTGGTTAAGTAATACACATATATTACTTTGATATATCTTAATATATTTGGGTATATATTCTC